TCGACAAAAAGTCGGTAACCACGGAAACTAAAACAACTTACAGGCTGACTTATATTCATTAGGTGGTATTACAGAGACAATTTTACATCACAAGTTACAAGAACTCCGCATCTTTGTAAGTTACTGCATGGCTGCAGGAACTACGACTGAACAACTAGCAGACCTCAATCATAACCAGCTGAAATACTGACCCATAAGGTACCCACACCCGCACCCCCCGCACCCAACCCCTCCTTACCGGTGCGGGTGAGCCCGTTGGGTGGCGAGGTCACGGGCCCGGACGGCGGCTCAGCTGAGCTGCTGGAAGACCGCTGCTCAGCTGGTAGGAAAGGGGAGGACGGGGCACGTCAGGGGTCGGCGAAATTCGTAGCAGATTTATTGGGAACCGTAACGTTGACGTACGACGTTAGACTGTGACGTAAGGCAAGACGCATCTCGTATCTCATCCACTACTAATGCCTACATTTTCCATCCCCCCCCCCCCACACACACACACATATCCTGTTCATATTTCCTGTCTGCTCATCCTCACTCCTTTCTCTTCCCTTCGCTCCCCTCATCCCTTCCCCACCTGTTGCCGTATCCCCCAGCAGCGAGGCGCCCAGCGAACCCCAGAGCGAGGCAGCCAGCCTCTCGGATCCACCGGCGGAGGTCGCTGATGGCCCGACCCCGGTCCCTCCTGAGCCGCTGCTGCTGCTGCCGCCCAGGCCGAATGCAGAGAAGAAACTCTCAGAGTCATCTGTTGGAGAAAAAGAGGGAAGGGAGTGAGGGAAAGAGAGGGGAAAGAGAGGGGGGAGAGAGAGAGAGAGAGAGAGAGAGAGAGAGCGAGAGAGCGAGAGAGCGAGAGAGCGAGAGAGCGAGAGAGCGAGAGAGCGAGAGAGCGAGAGAGCGAGAGCGAGAGCGAGAGCGAGAGAGAGAGAGAGAGAGAGAGAGAGAGAGAGAGAGAGAGAGAGAGAGAGAGAGAGAGAGAGAGAGAGAGAGAGAGAGAGAGGTGAGGGCAGAATGCAGTGTAACCTATTTATGTAAGTTTGTACTGTATGGTTACGAGCGAGCGAGCGCAGCGAGCGAAGCGAAGTCTTTTCAATATAACGGAAAAATCTCAGTATGAGCGGCCCGGCCCGGCCCGGCCTGTAACGCTTTTGAGAGGCTTATATCTCAGCAACCGCTGGACCGATTGGCCTGCGGTCTTTTTTGCTGGGTAGCCCCATCCCTTCTACCCCGTAATTGACTACTTTTGATACATCTCAGTGACCGTCGTGGCACGTGCCACGTGAAAAGTCAAGGGTGTTCAACCTGTTTTACAAAAGTAGTGATTTTGAGAGGCTCATATCTCAGCAGCCGCTTGGGCGATTGACTTGCGGTAATTTTTATAGGGTAGCTGCATCCTTTCTACCAAAAATAGGATACTCTCCATGCATGTGGGTCACCCCCAGTGCACGTGCAAAATACAACAATAAGAGGTGTCAAATTTGTTCCCATTTTAATAACTCGGTAATTACTGGGGCGATTTCGCTGAAACTTGGCATACAGGTAGGCACCCACCAGGCAATGCATTCCCATGTGTTGCGGTTAAGGTGCTACTGCACGTGCGCACGTGCAGGGGGCGTTTCCAGATCTCGAGAACGGCTGGGCCGATTGCGATCAAATTTGGTACACTGTTGGGGACCGGTTAGTAGAGTGCCGTGCAAAAGTCATTTTGGACCCCATTTGCACGTGCGCACGTGCAGAATGCCGCTTCCAGATCTCAGGAACGGCTGGGCCGATTGCGTTCAAATTTGGCACACCGCTAGCGACCGGTTAGAAGGGTGCTTTGCACAAGCCCGTTGGAAATACCCCCTCGCCCTTCCGCACGTGCAGGGCTCACTATCTCGCTCGCTCGTTCTTCGCCCAAAAGGCGTTTTACTGGTGATATCATTTTTATTTGTACAGGAGAACAAGGAATTGTGAATTAAAAAATATAGGCTTATATGATTCCTGCTATTATGTGCAATTAAGCTTCAATCGCTAAGTCACATACTTAAATCAAGTATTATATCTCCTACTAACCCTTTCCCTTGTTGTCATCCACTGAAGGTTTTTCTTCAATGTCTGGCAGGTCCAGGGCCTTGTCAAAGGTTTTTTGGGCCTCCTTCAGAGCAGACTTTGCCAAATTGGCAAAACCAGTTGTGTCGAACCAGCTCATCCTGTTCTACACCTGTAAAATGGATCAACTACAGCCATATCAGGTAAATAAAATCATGTCATTGATCCTCATCACCAACAAAGCATAACTAGGGGCTACATGTTAAATGCAGACTAGGTATTACATTTCCTAAGGTAGGCACAAACCAAATCATGTTAAAAGAATGAGGATCCAGTGATTTATGAAACTTATCAGATAATTCTAAATTGCAAGACTAGTGCTTACACAGCAATGCTTATACAGGTTACAGGTGGGAGGAGGGCGAGCCGGTTGACGTCGCCTACTTGGACTTCCGACGCGCCTTCGATTCGGTGCCTCACCTGCGTCTTCTCCAGAAGCTCCACGACATGGGCGTTAGGGGACGCCTCCTCGAGTGGCTGCGCTCTTTCCTGACAGAGAGAAAGCAAAGGGTCACTGTCAACGGCAGCTTCTCGGACTGGGTCGCAGTCGGCAGCGGTATCCCGCAGGGCACAGTTTTGGGACCAGTGCTCTTCATCGCTTTTGTCAACGACCTACCTGGCTGCGTAGAGAGCGCATGCAAGCTCTTCGCTGATGATACGAAGGTGTACGTCGGAGCGGGCACCGAGATCGGCCGCAGAAGGCTCCAGCAGGATTTGGACGCCCTGGCGGCCTGGTCTCGGAAGTGGAAGCTGCCGTTCAACCCATCCAAGTGCACAATGCTTCACCTGGGCAGCCAAAACGTGCGGGCGAAGTACACGATCGAAGGCGCTGCATTGAAGACTGTCGACACGGAAAGAGACTTGGGAGTCCAGATGGACAGACTGCTTAAATTCAGGGAGCAAGCGGCGACCGCCATTGGCAAAGCCAACAGAACCCTCGGCCTGATCAAGCACAGCTTCGTCCACATCGACTCCAAGACACTTCCTCTGCTGTATAAGACAATGGTTCGCCCGCACCTAGAGTACTGCAATCAAGTATGGGGCCCGTTCAACACGACCGACGTGAGGCTGGTGGAGCGGGTTCAGCGACGGGCTACGCGCCTTGTCCCTGGACTTCGGCATCTGCCTTACGAAGAACGACTGAAGAGTCTTAAACTTCCCTCCCTCCAGTACCGCCGTCGACGCGGAGATATGATCACGATGTTCAACATCATGCACGGACGCTCCGGCCTGGACAAGGACGACTTCTTCTCGCCCGCCCCAAGTACACGCACCCGCGGCCACCGACTCAAGGTGGCCAAGAAGCCAGCGGTCAGCCGCGTCCGGCGCAACCACTTCGCCACCCGGGTTGTGTCGGACTGGAACGCCCTACCAGAAGAAGTTGTCTGCTCGCCATCGACAAATGTGTTCAAGAACCGGCTGGACAAGCACTGGATGAACTATGCCTTCATCGCTCCACAATAGATAAGACTGTTAATGCTACCCGAGCTCTCTACGACGGATCCACCGGGCAATCCTAGTGCCTTCAATGATCCCCAAATATCAGGTATCAGGTATCAGGTATCAGGTTACGGAAAGCTGCAGAAATGTTACAACAGTAGTATTTGAACTTCTTTTAGTGCTCATGATAAAATATTGATATGAGCAGGCTCGTAGGTACCCCATAAAGGAATAGGAAGATCCAGCTCGCTAGAAAGCTAAACAAAAAACACCAGTTTTGGTACCTAAATGGTAAGGCAAACTCCACGCGAACAAGCATAACCCGCGACTTCTAGAGCCTTGACTTCTTAGTTTAAATTTGAGCATTTATCTCGCTTCTATATACTTGAAGCTTATACATTATTTATGGCATACACACCTGTTAGTTCACATTGAACACTTCAAATGATTTTTTGACTGATGTGGATGTGCCCTGCAAAGTGCAACCAAATGTTTCTGCTTTGTTTGCCCTGTACCACAGGCAACTGGCAACTGGTACTATCATATAGAGCAATGAGGCAGCAATCAGCATGAAAACAAAAAACGCACAAATAAGAAAAATATAATCTTTGTTAATTTTTAAATAGCTGTTGATTAGACCAGTCGGTACAGTATGATAGAAAAAGCGTGAAACCAAATTAGAATTGGAATGTCAATGCCGACCTGACCATTTCATACCTTTATTTTTACATGAGCTCGTTCATTTATCTTCGACAATCCCACGAATCTGCACGGAATGAAGCTGCAATAATGCGAACAAGTAGCTGAAATGTCCTAAGCATTACTCTGTGCCAACTCTGTGGGCCTCCAAAAATATACAACGTCAACAACACGGCATAAGTGACGGCATACCACTGAACTCTATAATGTGGAATGCGCATCGGCCGCCAGATGGTGTCCAACGGTGCCGCCATGTTGCGCAGACCAGGAAGCGGCCGCCGCCTGTGTTGGGGAATAGGGAATTCGGGACCTCGATTTACGTTTGCGGTCGCTGCATCCGTTACGTTCAAGCTATGTGGACACGGAACCCGGCATCTTACGCAGAATTGAGTGGAGAATAAGATCAAATCCTAAAAAATTATCAGATATGAAGAAACTAATACGTTAAGGCCTTTATAAGTCAATGGGGAAATATGAAAATTGCTATTTTGGCGCCGAGAATGATCTGAAACTATCTCAAGCATATAAAATCATGATTTCATGCACTCCTTGCAAGGTTCTATGCTTCATATTTGCATTGTTGCCCTTGCGTGACGTCATTTGTGACGTCACAAGGGTCACAGTTTTTCTTCAATAACTCCCGATCAAATTGAGCTAGCGAGTCGGGAAAGCCACCAATGGACTCAGGAAGACCTGCCGAATCGAATGATATGCGACATGACCTCTTTCGACCAACTTCGTGACCTGGGGGTGCTGACCTGACCTTGACCTGAGGTCAACACCCTAAGTTAACCTGACCCGAACAAAAAGTATATCATTCGATGCGCCTGAGCTAGCTGAACACGATGATGCCAAAATCGCGGCTCTACGGACATTTTTGGCGAAGTTATTTACCGAAAACCGAACCCGTGCCTTAGATCACTTGACCTGACCTCAGAGGTCACCGGTTGACCCGGGACCTTTACAGTGGGTTCCTTCCAGTCACTCTGCATTATCCTTTGTCGCAAACGACCAATTTACCGCTTAATTCTAGTTTAATTAGCGGCGCATTAGCGAGGTGGGTTCAATCAACCCTCTCGGCCGGGGCAAATGTAGGTCCGGCGAGTGAATTTGAGGAATTCTGAAGATACGATCGTGTTCCCCACTCAATTCTGCGTAAGATGCCGGGTTCCGTATCTACGTAACTTGAACGTAACAGATGCAGCGGCCGCAAACGTAAATCGAGGTCCCGAATTCCCTATTCCTCAACACAGGCGGCAGCCGTTTCTTGGTCTGCGCAATATGGCCGCCACCGTTAGACACTACGGCCAATAGGGTTAAAGCGGCATTGCTCCCCTGTGCGGCATACGATAAATACTGCGTTGTGATTGTAGCATTGCCATATGCTGACCGCAATATGGTAGCAATATGTAAAGGAATTTTGTATCGGCCTCAGTTATCCGTTATTTATACATGGCGGACATTCATTCGATATGGACGAAGCAACGTGTAGACAAGGCCCTATATACCGACCGAGTAGATGTCGCAAGTAGTAGATGTCGAGTAGATGCGAGTAGATGTCGCAATATTTACCTGTCCTTGTCTACAAGTTACTAAAAAACTAACAGGGAATTAATGACACATAAAAATCAAACAATCTGCACACACAAGTCGATTAGCTTTTCAAGCTGTAGCACCGGGCAGGGGGCGTCGAAGTCTAGTTCCTACCAAACTGGCACTCCCATGCCTACGTCACCACGAGGACGCCCGAGGGCATTTACATGTTGTAGATAGGGAAATTGCCATAGTTTAGAGCCGCCTGGAGGGCAACCTTGAGATAGATGATAATGTAAATGTGTGCTAATATGATCATCAACATGTTATTTATCCAAATCCAGGGCCAATTAATCGATATCTTGTCACGTTTTCCAGTGGTGATGCGCTAACTTTCGTGGTTCTTGCAGCCAATAAGGGTGTTTCATAGTGCGATTCAGCTGCATTATCGACTTTAATGCCATAAACCACCACGGAACATATGATTTGCAGCTCCCTGGCGTGATAGCTGCCAGTAGGGCTCCGGAGTCGGAGTCATGAAGTCGGTCGGAGTTGACAGTTCTGACCTGAGTCGTCGAGTCGGAGTCAGAGTCGATTTTATAAGCTGGAGTCTGAGTCAGTCACCGAAATTCGATCCCCTCCGCAGACCTTTCAGGTTTCCGTAGTCGGAGTTGTAGTCGGTCCGAGTCGACAGTTCCGACCAGTCAGAGTCAGAGTCGATTTTGAAAGCCAGAGTCGGAGTCGGAGTCACCAAAAATCCATTGCCTCAACAGACCTGCTAGGGCTGTGCCGGGCCCGCTGTGGAGTCGGAGTCGGTCAGAGCCGACATTTGAAATCAAAGTCAGAAGTGATGTTTGAAAGTCTGAGTCAGAGTCGGAGTCATCAATAAACCCATGGACGATCTGCAGTGCCATGCAGTAAGGGCGCTGCCGATCGATGCCCTAAATTGCCTATGATTTATGAATTGAATGAATAGATGGCAATTAATTAGGTACCTTCTATTATTCATCCCTTGCCACTTGGAGGACTTACTTTCGGTAGAAAAAGACGCATTATTTGTTTGTTTATTTGACAAATATTTTTTTAAGCAGTTAGGGATACAGACACCAAACAGCGATAGCACCTCGCTGGTGCAAATCATTGCTAGATAGATGCTGAAATGTGTTGCCATTGAAGTATCTACTGATTTTCCTGGCGGCTCTCGTTTTCAAGTAACTACTGGTCTTGTAAGATCTCTTGATTGCTCACCGTCTGGCGTCTAGTTCCAAGGTTTTCTGAAAGCTAATCAAACGTTACCATGGCTGCTCTTGATGGCATAGCGCTTGCTGGTTCTGGGTTCTTAATTGGTGGTTCTTGCGTCTGATCCTGTTGCTTCATGTTCCATCACATCACATTAAATTTCTAATGGAACAGACACTTCTACCTTTTATTTCACTATCAGTCGACTTGCATTTACTCATGTGGCCTGCTGGCCCTTTTATTTCCACGATAGAATCTACCAATTATTGAAAAAGCGTCGGATAAAAAGCAAGAAAAGTATGTCAAGTTAAATAATTGCGACGATCCTAGAAAACCAGAATAAAATATATCAAATAGCCTGTCCATCTCACTTCCCTCACTTCATAACAAAAACTTCGCAGCAAAACATGCGAAAGAGTCCTTAGCAACGCCTTAGCAACACACTTGTCTGAAGTGCGCAATATGTGTCACATCTGGAAAATTTAGTAGCTACTTGATTATTCACACTGGCGGTCGCAGGGGGGGGCCACGGGGGCCATGGCCCCCCCTTTGGTGCTGAAAGGTGGGGCCATACTATCTTTTGGCCCCACCTTTCAGATCGAACAAAAGTCCTAGAAAAGCTTTTCGTATGTTTCATTTTCTTTCTTGCGCCATCAAAGGACGTAAATTTCACTCATGAGTGGGCTCAGTTTCGCATTCTGTCAATTTGGCGGTCAGCGTCGCTGGCACCGGTTGACGAGTGTGGCCGCGGCCACACTCGGATCCGCGGATCTTATATGGAATATCAGCGTGGGTTTACTTGAGGCTCTCGTAGGCCCAGCATTCAGCAATGGCTGGCATGAGACCCTCTTCGGCAGTGGCGGGTGGGCCCTGCTAAAGGAGATTGGCTCCAAGACACTAAAGTAAGACCTCATGGGTTGGTGCTGTGCACCTCAGAAGCCCGGTGGTGACGCCGTATGCCGGCTTGGTTTCTTAAGGATTAGCGTGGGACCTCCGGGGCCTGCATAGAGTTTGCATGAGCTAGTATGTAAGCTCAGAGGCATGTGTGTAATGTGTACACAGTGGCGGTCGCGGGGGGCCGGGGGGCATCAGGGTCATGCCCCCAAAGGTCAATAAAGGGGGTCATCATATCATTTGCCCCCCTCAAACAACCAATGGGCCCCCATATAGGTGTATGGGGCCCTGGCAATTATTCGATCGTCACGAGGCTAAAAAAACCACGCCCAGCTATTAATATAGCTCCCACACCGGTCTTTGAACGTCCTACACTGACCTCTGAGGGAACTTCAGTGGCGGTCAAGCGCCCACGTTGACCGCTAAGAGCCTACATCAACCTCTGAGGCCCCATATCTGGCCTATGATGGCCCCTAACCGGCCTCAGGGGTCCCAACCGGCGTCTGAGGGTCTCACACCGGTCTCTGGTGGCCTTATTTCTGTCTCTGGTGTCCTACGACGAACCTTTAGGTGCCGATAAGGGCCCCGCACTGGCTGCTGAAGACCCGATGCCGGCCTCTAAGGGTCTGCATTGGCCTCTGAGGAGGGCCCATCTTGGCTTTTGAGGGCCCTGTGCTGGCCTCTGGGGTCCAACGACGGCTCATGCCGGTCTTTTAGGGCCCCACGCTGACCTCTGAGGGCCCATGCTGGCCTGTAATGAGTAAGGACCCACATTAGCCTCTGAGAGCCCAACTCGGTCTCTGATGGTCTCAAACTACTGGCCTTTGTAGTTTGCAGGCCCTGTACTGGTCTCTGAGGGCCCTAAACTAGCCTCTACATGAAAACATAAAAACATACATGGGTGGGTTTCTGAAGATCAGAGGGCTCACGCAGTCTCCGGCACAGCCTTACGTTGGTCCTGATCGAGATTGCTTTACGTCCTGATCCTGATGGTCCCGCGCTGATTCCCTAATATTTCGAGGTCGGGACCCCATGAGCCGGTGTGGGTCCTGGGGCTGGCAGAGACTGATGAAGTCCTTAGGGCTCAGGGCCAGTCTTTTAAGCAGTAGGACTAGGCAGGTTGAGTGAGCCCCAACAGAGCCGTTGCGAAGCCCCGCAGGAGTCGCGCGCGGCCCTCAGATGCCAATTCTGAAAGCTCGGAACCTGTGGGGGTCTCCAGAGGCCGGTGTACCTACTCTCTCCCGCCGCCACACAACTAGGTACCTATATGGGTAAATGTCATAGTCTAAAAATGCTCTCTGGGTTTCACATGCTTGTTCAAAGCAAGAGGTATCTGTACTTTTTAGCAAGATGTATCTGTACTTTTCCGAATTGTTTTATAGTGGTAAGGTCATGAATCCGCGTGCATGACCTTCCAGTATACCTATGCTACACCGATCCGTCGTCATGGACGGTGCAGCGGCCCGACCGGTGGGCACACCGTGAGACGGTAAATGGAACTGGT